CATGGGAGAAAGTATTTGCAAACTACCCATCTGACAAGGGATTAATAATCAGAAAATAAAAGAAACTCAAACACTATAAGAAAAAATCTGGCCTGGCAAGGTGGCTCACACCTTTGATTCCAGCACTTTGGGAGGCTGAGGCAGGTGAATCACTTGAGGCCAGGAGTTCAAGACCAGCCTGGGAAACATGGTGAAACCCCATCTCAACAAAAAATTAGCTGGGCATGGTGCCATGTGCCTGTGATCCCAGCTACTTGGGAGGCTGAGGTGGGAAGATCGCCTGAGCCCAGAATGTTGAGGCTGCAGTGAGCCATGACTGAGCCACCACACTCCAGCCTGGGTGACAGAGTGAGACCCTGTCTAAAAAAAAGTAAAAAATATAAATTTATAATAATCCACTCAATATGGACAAAGGGTTTGATTAGACATTCCTTAAAAAAAGACATACACTGGGCGCAGTGGAACACACCTGTAATCCCAGCACTTTGGGAGGCCTAGGTGGGTGGATCACGAGGTCAGGAGTTCAAGACCAGCCTGACCAATATAGTAAAATCCCGTCTCTATAAAAAATCTTAAATTTTTTTTAAAAAGACATACAAAGGGCAAACAGGCATATGAAAATGTACTGAACATCTCTGATCATCAGAGAAGTAAAAATCAAAACTGCAATGAGATAGCATCTCAACCCAGTTAAGATAGCTTATATTCAAAAGACAGGCAATAAGAAATGCTGGAGAGGATGTAGAGAAAAAGGACCCCTCATACACTGTTGACAAGAATGTACATTAGTACAACCACTGTGGAGAACAGTTTGGAGTTTCCTCAAAAAAAAAAAAAAAAAATAGAGCTACCATATGATCCAGCAATCCCACCACTGGGTATGTAGCCAAAAGAAGCAAATCAGAACATCAAAGAATGATCTGCACTCCTGTTTGTTGCAGCACTGTTCACAATAGCCAAGATTTAGAAGCAACCTAAGTGTCCAGCAGCAGAGGAATGGATCAAGAAAAAATGTGGTACCTATTCACAATGCAGTACGATTCAGCCATAAACAAGAATGAGATCCTGCCGTTTGCAACAGTGTGATAGAATTGGAGGTCATCATGTTAACTAAAATAAGCCAGACATAGGAAGACAAACATCACACATTCTCACTTTATTTGTGAGATCTAAAAATCGAAAGAGTTGAACTCATGGAGATAGTAGAAGGATAGTTCCCAGAGGCTGGGAAGTCTGTTGTGGATGGGGGGGATGTGGTAGGGTGGAGGGATGTGGTAGGGTCAGGGGATGTGGTAGGGTGGGGGATGTGGTAGGGTGGGGGAAGGTGGGAATGTGCATATATATATATATATATATATATATTTCAAACACACACACTAGTTCCTGGCACGTAGTAGGTTCCTAAGAAATGTGGTTGACACTGTTACATGATTTGTATCCTTGGTGATGATGGTTGGGATCCTTGTGTCACTATGAATATGTCATTCACTCTCATTATTAATGTGTACAAAAAAGTTACAAAGAATCGGTAAGACCTAGTACATGATAGCACAACAGCATGACTGTAGTCAATAATAATTTAACTGTGCATTTCAAAATAACTAGAAAAGTATAATTGGATTGTTTGTAACACAAAGGATAAATGCCTGAGGGGAGAGATGATCCATTTGTCATAATGTGATTATTACACATTGCATGCCTATATCAAAACATCTTATGTACCCCATAAGTATATACACCTACTATGGACCTACAAACATTAAAAATTTTAAATATATTTATATATGTAACAAGCCTCAGTTTACACAGCTGACAAGGTGCAGAGCAGCAGTTCAAACACAGGGGTATCAGACGTTGGAGCTCAGTCACTGTTCTCCTGACCTGCCAGAAAATTCAGTCCCTGGCATCAGATAAACTGACTTTTGGCTGTCACCCAGTTAATGATTATAATAATAACTTATTAGATCTTGCTTTTTGAATTATTCGATCTTGCTTTTCTGAGGACTGCGCCTTTTCCCAAGCCTCGGGTCCTGTATTCACAGGATAACAATACTGCCTGGTGAAGCAATAAAGTGCTTAATAAACCTTGGCTGTTATGATACTTATTCTTCCAGATTTTTTCTGAGAAGTCATGCAAAACAGGAATATAGATTGCAAAAAAGATGCTAAGCAGGAAGGCACTAAAGGAAACCTTTCTCCAAAGGGGATGTTTATTTCCGAGACGCACAGGGGGGAGCTCAACCAGCTGTTTTCCAGGAAATTGTCCATTTAACCCAGGGTTTAATGACTAGCCAGTGTCGAAGGACGGAAAAGAGAAGAAAACAAACAAGGATGATGTAAAAATCCAACCGCACACTGCATAAACTCTGTGGTCTCCAAGATTTAATTAGAATCCTGAGCATTTTCCATTCCTCCAATATGGAGGGAAAGAATCAAAACCATCACCGATATTCTACTGGTAGCTAAAAAAATGAAGTTAAATCAGAGTAAACATCAGAAACCAGAATACTGGAATCAGTAAGATGTAAATGATGGATCCATACCCAGAGGCTGAGGCCTCTGCCTCTGAAGTTTCTTCTGACTTAAATTTTCTCCCCAATCCCCACCTCTGTACCTCTTCCCTGCACCATCACAACCTTCCATCGCAGTTCAAATGTCTCCTCCTCAGAGAAGCCCTTCCAGTTCTCAAATGGAACTACACTTGAGAGTTCTTGACTTTTCCTTGCCAGCAGTACCAAATTTGTGATTAAATTCTATGATTGTTTGATCAGTGGCTTTTCCCCAAGCAGACTGCTAGATTCAGGTGGTCAGAGGTCTCGTCACCACTGTAGATCAGAGATTTCATTCACTACTGTAGATCAGGGTAGATCACATCCAGACTTACAAAAGAAACTCTATATATCTTTATTAATTGAGTGAGTTTGAAGTTTGGTAAATTTCCTTTAATTATCATTTATTCATTCACTGGATGAGGACCTAGATTCATAGTGTATGCTGTTCAACAGTGAATACCATCATTGGTTCATTCAATCAGCAAATGTCTATCAGTGCTTAATACCTGCTGGGCACCGATTTGAACAATGAGGATACCGCAGTGACAAAAAGAGACAAATCCACACCCACATGAAACTTACATTGTAGTGGGAGAAGAGCATCCACAAATAGTAAAAACGACACACATCTGAGGAGTCAGAAATGCTCTGGAGAAAAAGTAAAGGAGAGAGATGGGGAAAACCATGTGTATAAGGGAGCATTTAAAAACAAAACAAAAAAAAACAGGGTCTTACTCTGTCACCCAGGCTGGAATGCAGTAACACTATAAAAGCTTGCTGCAGTCTCCAACTCCTGGGTTCAAGCAATCCTCCCAACTCAGCTACCAGAATAGCTGGGACCAGAGGTCCACACCACCATGCCTGGCTATGTGTTGTATTTTTTTGTGGAGACAGGGTTTCACCATGTTGCCCAGGCTGGTCTTGAACTCCTGGGCTCAAGTGATCCTTCCACCTAGGCCTCCCAAAGCCCTGGGATTTCAGGCTTGAGCCACAGCTCCTGTCTCAAGGGGGCAATTCTAAAGGGAGACGCTGTAGAGGACCTCACTGAGCAGAGACCACCAGAAGGAAGGGAGGACTGAATGTAGCATCTGGGAGAGGTCCTTCCAGAAAGAGAGTAGCAGGTTCACAGGGCCTTGGGGGCGTGCCCTTAGATACAGTGGCCAGAGTGGAGGAAGCAAGAAAAAGAATGGTGGGTGGGTGACCTGGTCAGAGAGGGCCACTTAGATAGACGTGATTAAATGGCTTTAGATTTCACTCTGAGCTGGCAGTCAGTGGAGAGCTCTGGAAAGAGATGTGACATTGGAAATGATTTTTAAATCACCTCACTCCGGATACGAGATGGAAGGAGGCCACAGGGGGATGCAGAGACAGTACGTGCATCGACCGCAAGAAGCTCCAGGGACCCCTGTAGCTCCCCAGACAGGGTGGAAGCAGGACGCTGTGGTGGTCTCAGGCTCTCTGAAGGTAAAGGCAACTGAAGGTGCGGACAGGATGAGTGGAATGTTAGGGGGAAAGGGGCGCCCCGGAAGCCCCCGATATCGAGGGTCTGAGCCACTGAAGGAATATAGTCACCGTGTGCTGAGAGGGGAAGACCAGGAGAGGATCAGGACAGGAGTGAGGCGGTGATGGTGGAAATAGAAACTTCAGGAATAGGGTTTTAGGCAAGAGACATCTGAAATTGCTTTTAGGCGGGGCGCGGTGGCTCATGCCTACAATCCCAGCACTTTGGGAGGCGAGGCGAGTGGATCATTTGAGGTTACGGTTCGAGACCAACCTGGCCAACATGGTGCAACTCCGTCTCTACTAAAAATATAAAAATTAGCCAGGTGTGGTGGCGAGCACCTGTAATCCTAGCTGCTCGGGAGGCTGAGGCAGGAGAATCACTTGAACCCAGGAGACAGAGGTTGCAGTGAGCCAAGATCACACCACTGCGCTCCAGCCTGAGTGACAGAGTGAGACTCCTCTCAAAAAATAATAAAAAACAAAATAAAATGGAAGTGGAAAATGGATTTGCTGGAGAAGGAGACAAGTGAAGCAGAGGGTAAACCAACTGGGAGTCTCCGGCAGTTGTCCAACGAAAACACCACATGGACTTCGCCAGGTCCATGAAGATGGGGTAAAGCCGGGAGATTTGAGACCTGTTATAGAGGGAGAGACAACAGGCTATCCAGACGGGGTGAGGAGATTAAAGGAGAATCAAAGACGCACTGAAGTTGTTGGAGTGGGGCTGGGAAAAAGATGGCGGGCGGCCCCTGAGAACAGAGAACCCAAGTTCTCTTTGTGTCACGTTGAGTGAAGTTGATGAGGAAGCAAGAACAAGGTATACATATTGCTACTTAAAAAATATATATATGTTAGCTCTTCTCCCTCCCTCCTCCCTTCACCTACCGGAAGTGACACGAGGAATAGCGGAATGATGCAAGGCGCAGTGGAAGTGACGCAAGGCGTAGTGGAAGTGACGCAAGGCGTAGCGGAAGTGACTGCAGCCGCGGTGTCGTGCTGTGGCGAAGGAAAACTCCATTCTAAACGCCGGAGCGAGGTTCGGCCTACCCTGAATTCGCTGCTGTTCAGAGACCGGCGGGTGAAGGCAGCATCACCATGTCTGACCGAGAGGTAAAACCTTCAACTGAGGACTTGGGGGATAAGATAAAAAATGAAGATATTAAACTCAAGGTCATTGGACAGGATAGCAGCGAAATTTACTTCAAAGTGAAAATGACGACACCTCTCGAGAAACTCAAGGAATCGTACTGTGAGAGACAGGGCGTTCCAGTGAATTCCCTCAGGTTCCTCTTTGAAGGTCAGAGAATTGCTGATAATCATACTCCAAAAGAGCTGGGAATGGAGGAAGATGATGTGATTGAAGTTTATTGGGAACAAATGGGGGGTCATTCAGCAGTTTAGACATTTTTTATTTATTGAGCGTTTTTCTTTTTGCTCAATCCTTTTTTATTTTTAAAAATAGTTTTTCTGTAACGTGGTATTCAAAACGGAATTGAAAACAGGCACTGCATCTCTTTAAAACATCTGGTAATTTGAATTCTCATTATTCATTATTGTTTGTTTTCATTATGGTGATTTCTGATAATCAAGCCTCAGTCCTCTTCAGATTGCCCACTCCTTTTATAAAAATTACGTGTGCCCAGAGAGGCCAGCTTTTTCAGAACTGTGCATTTTCAGGTGATAAGATCGACCAATGGAAGTGTTCATAATGACTTTCCAGTTGGCCCTGATGTTCAAGCACGTGGTTGCTTCACTCCTGAACTGTGACTTCTGGTGGGAAATGGAGGTTTTTTTTGGAGAACTGAGCTGTGGAAAAATGACCTTTCCTTAACAACTTGAAGGTACTTTTAAATTTTGAGGGTCTGGACCAAAAGAAAAGGAGCATCACGTTAAGTCAAGATGATGGATAAGGATGAGAGTAACGGTTAACTCCAAAGATGGCTTCCCTGAACAATAAGCATTTGAAGATTTTTTTTTTAATCTTGTCATAAGATCCCAGAAAAGTTCTATTTTTCATTAGCAATTAATAAAGCTATACATGCAGAAATGAATACAACAAAATACTGCTCTTTTTTATTTTTTGTGTACTTTTTGGCCTGGGATATTGGGTTTTAAATGGACATTGTCTGCGCCAGCTTCATTAAAATAAACAATATTTGTAAAAATTGTAAAAGAAAAAAGTAAAATATTACATAAATACAGAATAGTGCAACATCAGGAGTATCCAGCTTGATGGGTCTTCCCAAAGGGGAACCCATCGAAAGTTCCTCTGCACCCCCTTCTATCACGTCCCCACCAAGTGTAACTACTCCCCGAGTCTTAAGCAATAAACAAGGTTTACTGGCGTTTTTAAACCTATGATCCGAGGTGAGGGCATTTGCCCAGATTTTTTCAAAAAATTACCTCAGTTGGCTGGGCGCTGTGGCTCATGCCAGTAATCCCAGGCTGTGGGAGGAGCCCTTGAGGCCAGGAGTTTGAGACCAGCCTGGGCAACTTAGTGAAACCCTGTCTCTACAAAAAAATTTTAAAAATTAGCCAGCCATGCTGGTGCATGTCTGTAGTTTTGGCTACTCGGGAAGCTAAAGGGGGAGAATTGGTTGAGGCTGCAGTGAGCTAGGCGTGCATCACTGCACTCTAACTGGGCAAAAGTGAAATCCTGTCTTAAGAAAAAAAAGGTCAGGGGTGGGGAGAGTGGGAAATACCATAAGGTTTTTTGTTTTTTTGTGTGTTTTTTTTTCCTTTTAGATTGAATAAGAGGATTTTGTTTTGTTGTTTGGCCTGGAGGGGGTGCTTGTTTGTCCTTACCCTCCTGCCCATGGTGAGGCGCTGATGCAGAGTGTGTGGGGTCTCGCCTAGCCCCTTGGCTGGCAGGGAGGGAGCCTCACGTCCCACCTACTTTTTCTTGCCTCGCAGTCACAGGGGCATCACACCACAGCAACAGGTATAACTGCAAACCCTACTCCTCTTAGAAGCAAGTTCCCTCCTGCCCATCCCTTCCCTTTTGAGATTCTTTTTTCTGGTCCAATCCCAACAGAACGCTTTTCTTAAGGAATCATAGTTTCTAGTTTTTGCAGTGTTCATTTTAATGTTTTGATGCAAACACAGCCAACGTCATTCTATTCTGCAAATTCATTTCTCCTTTCTCTCTCAATCTCTCCCTCTCTCTCTCTCTCTCTCTCTCTCTCTCTCTCTCTCCACTCTCTCTCTCTCTCTCTCTCTCTCTCTCTCTCTCTCTCTCTCTCCTCTCTCTCTCCCCTCACCCCCTTCCTCCCTCTGTCTCCCTGTTTCTGTGATTATTTTTTTTGGAAATAATTCCCTTCACTTTATGCCTCCATAAACCTCTGACTCCAGCAGATGGAACAAGGCTGCTATTCCGAGTCAGCGGAATCAATGGGCCAGCTACAAGTGGGAGGTGAGTCTTATACACTGCAGTTTCACCCTAGTAAGTGACGTTGTGGCAACACCCACAGAACAAAAGGTTCACCTTTTTCATCTATTTTTACTTCTCAGGAGGCCCTGGTCCTGCAGTCTTTTAATTAGAGAACTGTTTTCCCCTTCTTGGCTCTGCACACATGTTTTCTATATAATATTAAACAGTAACCTGTGAGTCTCCCACATCCTGGTATGCTCTGGATCACAGACCACATTTTTTAAACACACATAGACACACACATCACAGACCACATTTTTGAAACACACACACACGCGCGCGCGCGCGCGCGCGCGAGACCAAAATCTGTACTGGCTGACTACTGGCAAGGGAAAGTAAAACCGCATTAAATTTGGCTCGCTTGCTTACTTGCTTTCTCTTTTTCTTTCTTTTTTCCTTCCTTCCTTTCTTTTCTTTCTTTTTCTTTCTTTTTAACAATTTGATTGAGATATGATTTACATGTCATAATATTCATCCATTTTAAGTGTGCAATTCAGTGTTGTAAATTTTTTTACTGAGTTGTGTATTGGCTATTTCTTCTTGGAAACAGGGCCACTGGAGAAACATCTTGACCCAATCCCACTCTCCCCACTTTGAAAACGGATCAGTAAATAGCAGAGAGCAAATTCTGTTTCACCCCCAAAATAGTTATTATTCATTTCATTGTGCCATTAACAGCTTACTTCCTGTGTTTTGATTCTGAGCTGTTCCGAAGCCACATTGCTTAGTTTTTACACTATCAAGAGATTTCTTTTGTGTTACAGGTGTTTTTTATTTATTTGTTTCTTAGTGGCTTAGTTGGGAGTCTTTAGCTCTTTGCTTTATCTTCTGGGTTAATTGGAGAGATTTGAAATGAACTTTTGTGGCATGACAGACTGTACATAAATATGTGGTGTTCACAGCATTCTTACTTTTGAAACTAGTGGAAAGGAAGATACTTAGAAACATAAGTAGGGCACAGAGGCCTAGAACCTTTTCCTAGTATTAAAATCTTATTATATAATTTGGCTTTAACTCTGTGAGTCTCCATTTTCTCATCGGAAGAACAGGAATTAAAATAACCACTTCAGGAGATTAGCCTGAAGATCCAATTCATGTGAAAGCACCTAGAACAAAATCAACTTTAAAAAAAAAAACTATCAATATTCATTGAATATGAATCTTGACAAACTTTACTAGTGGTATAAGAATTGTTTGTCAGGGTGCATTAGTAAAAGCATAGTGCCTTCTCCTAAATGAGGGTGTACTAGTTTGATTATTCACTCAACAAATCGGTCATTACTTGCTGCCTGCCAGACACTAGGGAGGGAATAGAGGACAGGAAGACAGTCAGGTGGAAGCAATGCTCACAGTATGGTTGTGCACATAAATACCTGGGTGTAAATTATGCAAGGATTATAACAGAAACTTCTGGGGTGTGCGTGTGCATGTGAATCTTTAAAGTAGTTTAAGAGAATCTATTTTGTTGATAAATTTATGCCTATAGGCATAGAAAATTTTTTCTGGAACATCTCATGGGAGGCTTCATTTTTATTAAAGAAACTAGAAAAGCACATAAGGGAACATCTTCCACTTTTTATTCTGTACCTTTCTGTAAAATTTTAAGTTTCAAACTCTAAATTTTTTTTTTTTAGACAGAGTCTCACTCTGTCACCCAGGCTGGAGCGAAGTGACTTGATCTCAGCTCACTACAACCTCTGCCTCCCAGGTTCAAGCAATTCACCTGCCTCAGCTTCCGGAGTAGCTGGGATTATAGGCATGTGCCACCATGCCTGGCAAATTTTCGTATTTTCAGTAGAGACAGGGTTTCACCGTGTTGGCCAGGCTGGTCTGGAGCTCTAAGTGATCCTCCTGCCTTGGCCTCCCAAAGTCCTGGGATTACAGGCGTGCACAGCCGCGGCCTAAACTCATGTTTTTGTTATTTGTTTGTTTGGTTAAGTGTCACTGGGCTTCTCTGATCAGTAGGCTGAAAGGCCATTTTTAAATTTTTCTTCTTAATCTTTTCTCTACTGAAAACAAGACCTGTTACTTAAGATGGATAAATGATTAACTGTTTGAAATATAATTTGTCATGTTAAGCCATTTAAACATTAAACATAACATTATTATACTTAAAAAGACGAAGGTCATTTACAAGAGTGTAAGAATTCATCAGCCTACACCAAACTGTTACTAGCCTACTCTTGCCCAGGTAATACTACCTTTATTCAATAGCTATTTTCTCAGTGCCTGCAGCATACCAGGCATCCTTCTGGGTATTGGTAGATAAAACAAAGCCCTCAGCACGTCACAGCCTAGATTCTAGTTGGACAGTAAAACAAATACACAGTAAGTGCTATGAAGAGTGACCGGGGAGATGGAGGGTGCTTTTTGTTTATTATACAGAATACCTTTTGGAGTTGCATTCACTACAAATGGAACAGTCAGAAGGCCTGTCTGAAGAGACGCCATCTCAGCAGAGGCTTGCATGAAGGAAGGGAAGCGTGAGCCCTGCAAAGGAAAAACGGTTCCTGGCCAGCAGGACCTGGAAAGAGCCTCAAACAGGAGAGCTCAAAACCAGTAAAGCAGAGTGCTGAGCTCAGGACTGTCTGTGATGCTGTTCTTTTCACCTGTACTATTGCTCAAGACAGCTCATAATTCAGAACTTATTTTTTAAAAAGTAAAAATGAAACACTCAGTACTATTAATACCTTTCTGATTGTAGGACTTGGAATATGTGGTTCTGGGCATTGCTTCTTTTTTTCAGATATATAAGAAAATAGTTGATATAAACTATACCTACTAAAGGAACAAAGATGTATTTACATGTCAAAAAGAACTTGTTATAGCCATATTTATTTCCAGTCGCTACAACCATTTTTAATCTATTATCCTCACAAAACCTCATAAAATATGCTCTGTAGACTATTGCAGTACATGCCTGCTTTCATTCCTTGCAAATTATGTAAATAAATGTTCAAGGTCGTAAGGAAGAATACTCAGAGACAAACAAGAAAGGACAGTGAGACACGTTGTTCTCCGCCTACTCTAAGGTGCCCGCCAGTAGGAGGAGCACTGTGGTAGGTGAGTAAAACCGCACACTCTAAAAAGCAAACACAACGCCCAGCCTCGCTTCAGTTCCCGCGGGGGCCCTCACCTGAAAATCAAGGGCTGGCTGTTCAGTGATCGCCAAGTCCCTCGACGCATTTTCTTTCCCTTTCCTTTTGTCTGTGTTCAGTTCTAACTCTATGAATTCTGACTAAAATAACTATTTTGTAACCAGTTGTTTTCATTATAACTGGCTGAGCACTAAACTAACCTCTTCTTTCCTCAAGCAGGAGTCTGTGGGCAGATGGCCGTAAAGTAGTATTTCCCAACCAGAAGCCATATATATATTCTTATATATATATTGTTATTGTTATTCTTATATATATATTGTTATTGTTATTCTTATATATATATTGTTATTCTTGTATATATATTGTTATTCTTAAAAATATATATATATTGTTGTTCTTGTTGTTTTTTGAAACAAGGTCTCACTCTGTTGCCCAGGCTGGAGTGCAGTCATGGCTCACTGCAGCCTTGACCTCCCCAGGTTCAGGTGATCCTCCCACCTCAGCCTCCTGAGTAGCTGAGGCCACAGGCACTCACCACCACCCCCAGCTGATTTTTTTTGTAGAGGTGGGGTTTTGCCATATTGCCCAGGCTGCGTATTTACATATAATAATACACTATATAACATATAGTATATAGTATATGTTATATAATATATAGTATATAATATAAAATGTATATATACTATACTATATATTAAAATAAAATACTATATAATAAATAGTATGATATAGTATGTATTATCTATATCATATAGGATACATAATATATATGATATATTCTATGTATATGGAAATTATATTTGTATCTAAATATATATTTAAATAAGTATGTTTTTATATATATATATATATATTTTTTTTTTTTTTTTTTTTTTTTTTAAGAGAGAGACCGGATCTTCCTACATTACCCAGGCTTGACTAGAACTCCTGGGCTTAAAGGAACCTCCTGCCTCAGCCGTCTGAGTAGCTGGGGCTACAGGTGCACCCACTGTGCCCAGCTCTCAATTTTCACATTTTTTATTTTCATGACTATAGAGGAAACAGCCACCGTCACCAGATGCTGGTGAGCACCCTACAATGCCCGGGCCAGCCGCCAACAATAAAGAATGCTGTAGTCCAAAGTATCATTAGCACCAAGGATGAGAATCTTGGATATGGAGAAATTGGGACAAATGATGAGGGGCAGAAATGAGTGGAGGACTTGTTTACTGATGATGTCCATGGGGTATTTCCAGAGTAATAAACAGCGCACAATTTTTGCCTCAATTGATGGTGATTCTCTTCTATAGATTGCTCTTTATTTTTTCTGAAAACTTGGGTGTGTGACACAAGTAGCCCCATGGTAGTCCAGGGGCACAATGGGAGAAATGAAAAACGGAAGCAGGTTCAGGCATGCGGCACTGCAAGAGTAACCTTTCTGTTGTAAGACTTGAGAAAGTTTTCAGATCCTTGTGTACTTTATCAGCAGAATGTTCATCTGCATATGGCATTCAGAAGCAAACTAAACTTTTTTTTTTCCTCTGAGTCTTTTGTTTCTGAATCAATGGGAAACAAAGGATATCCCCGCTCCATTCAGGCAGCTTCAATGATTCTCAAATCAACCTGGGAGCAGTCGTGGGCCATTTAAAATATACAGTGATTTTTTTTTAAAGCATACTTATTAACCTTGTAAACATTCTATAAAAGTACAAGAGGAAACTTTATACAGAATAGCCAAGTGTCCTTTTTATAGAATAGCCCTTTGTACTTTGAAATGTTCATGTCTATGAAATAGAATTGGACAGACGAGACTAGGATAATGCAATTTCCATGTCTTCTAGTAATTGTTCTGTTAAAACATTATATTTCAGCGTCTTAACACTCAGAAGATTAAGTTACTTCGCCCCAAGATCAGTTCCACTTTAAAAAAGCACTTTCGACCCATATTTAACCAACCGTCAGAGAGGATTCAAAAGAGGGCTAATTGAGCACTGAGTGTTTGAAGCATTCAAATCATGGCCCAGGTTTCTTCTTGAAAACACCAACAGAGCAGCCTGGCAGGAAGCAGGGATTAGACAAGAGAATCCATTGAAACTTGCCTTCCAAACTGGAAGAAAACCTTTCGGTAAGAAAGCGTGAAGTTTGAAGTCACTGCATGTTATATTATTCATCTTTCAGACTGCCTCCACCCTTATTGGATGGCATTTTCTCCTCTTACCCAGCTCTGAGCTACCACCGTAATTCACCAAGAAACGGACTTTAGCAAGAACGACCCACCCTTCAGAGCAAAGTAGCCGCCCTTAGCCTGGTTCTCTTTATCACTCGATTCTGTTCCCACTCTATCTGCACACTATCTCTTCTCTCTGAATGTTTTGTAATTCCCTCTGGTATTCCAAGGCCAATGAAATCACAGCCTCCCGTAAGAGTGCTAAAGCCGAATGCATTCACTGCTAAGCTGCATTTTTAACCCTTTTCACCCACCAGTTTCAATATTCTCAGACCTCAACAGAATCAAGTTATGGGAAGGCAAGCTGGAAAACCTCACAGGGGAGATTTCACGAAGAAGAGAGAAGCCTGGGTATTTATCATTTAGATTCTTGTCCTCATCTCCCTTACCACCCCCAACAATAGAAGCATCAGGAAACTAACAGTGATAATCAATAATCTAATAAGCTCAGCCAGCCTCAAGTTCTGTTGTTGTTTTTTCCCTTAAACAAAACAAAAACAGGCATTCTGCCCAGAGCAGAGAGAGAGAGAGAACCTCTCTCCTAAAATCCCAGAAGTTTGCTGCCAGTGATTCAGAACATACCTGACCAAAAAAAAAAAAAAAATGTTGCTTAACTGGTTTGGTTGTTTCAGCTGGCTACTACCAAGAGAAGTAAACAGAACCTTACCCTTTCAGTTAAGTCTGGCTTGAGCATTATTTTCAAGTAAATATTTATAATTTCAGTGCTATTCCATTGCTAGCACTTCTGTCTTTGGATTAGATTGACTGAATCATGTTCTTGGATTAGCCCGACTCCATAGCAACAGGCCAGTAGAGGTTGCACCCTCACCGCCCGTCCTTTCTGTGGCGGAAGAGGAGGTATTTGGTGACACTCGCCACCAGGACTGTGCAGCTCTCTTGCCAGATAGCAGCTGAATTGAGGAACATTTTTCCTTTGCCTTTTGGGCTCCAGTCGATCCGGATTTTTGCTGATCACTTTGCACATCTCAATGAATTTGACACACGGGCATTTTTTTCTCTCTCTCTTCATTCAGGAAGTGGAGAGCCCAGCCCAGAGATTCTCTCCGCTCCGATGATATAAACAAATTGTAGAGGAAGTCAAGTCAAACTTTCCCTTGCTGCTTTTGTTCTCCCAACTAGAAATTCAGAAAACAGAGCCAACTTTTCTTGGATGCCTTTTAAGATTGCTCTTTAACTGGAAAGGAAGAAATCCTCTTGTTTTATTTCGTATCTGTAAAAACAAAGATTCTCCTAAACATATTTTGTTTTCAAAAAAGCAGAAATGCCCTAGAAATTAAAAAAAAAAAAAAATACTGTGTTCGGAGACTTTTCAAACCAAATTGCTCCTTTGTCATTACACAGTTACCTAATTGTTTTTCTTTCTTTCACAGATCTCCAGGCTAAAATACAAACGAGAGCAATACCGATCTTTGCGTGGATAATAGCTAAACCTGAATAGAGGCTTCCAGGACCCTAACACACAGCCAAGGAAAGCTAACAGTCATGATTCAATAAAGTTGCCTGTGTAAGGCATGCGCCAGACAGAAAGGAGACACCATATCTGCAATCTACAGACACTGCTTTAAACATCACATATAATTAAGTCCTTCCCATGGTGGTGGCTACTTGAAGCTTTATCATTAACTTTTAAGATTTCATCTCTGGGTTTCACCGATGGTTCTGAGAATGAACATTTTCAAACACTAGAGGCACCTGCTAATCCAGGAGAATTCTCACCACACCTATTCTCGTCCTCTAGGTGAAAGAAGCTCTATGTTAAAGGACTGAAGGAAAACAGAAGGGGATATATAACAAAGTGTATGCAGGGGCGGCCATGGGTGGCTTCCCATGCTGAGTGTTCTATTACATTAATCCTGGTTCAAAAAATAAAAAGATGCGACAGCCCCTTGGATATCAATGTGCCTGCGTTGTTTGTCCTCCGTTGGCCCTCTCTGTACACAGGGGGGTAGCCAGACTTCAACACAGCCCTATTCTCTCATGAAACGTATCAGTTCAAATACAGGCTCAAACTGTTTGCTGAGTTTCTGTGTTCTCCTCTGTAAATGGGAAATATGGTGGTTGTGTCCTATCGGTTAGAAATAATATGGGTATAGATACAGAGATAGTTCTCATTTAATCCAGTGTGTGGCTCCTGTTAGGTTCTCGATAAAAAAAATTGTGATTATTGGCCGGGCACGGTGGCTCAAGCCTGTAATCCCAGCACTTTGGGAGGCCGAGGCAGGTGGACCACGAGGTCAACAGATCGAGACCATCCTGGTCAACATGGTGAAACCCCGTCTCTACTAAAAATACAAAAAATTAGCTGGGCATGGTGGCGCGCGCCTGTAATCCCAGCTACTCAGGAGGCTGAGGCAGGAGAATTGCCTGAACCCAGGAGGCGAAGATTGCGGTGAGCCGAGATCGCGCCATTGCACTCCAGCCTGGGTAACGAGCGAAACTCCATCTCAAAAAAAAAAAAAAATTGTGATTATTAAAATTCATAACACTCTGTGAGTTCTCCTGGGTCAGGAAAAACTGGCATTGCTAGAAGCTCAGCCTTACAGCATCTGCAGTTATTTCTGTCCGAATACTTTTCCTCAGTCATGATTTTCTCCTCCCTCTTTATCCATAAATACACATATACTGTAGATATTTATAGACTAATAGGTGTATCAAATCCTTTATGCAAGTTGTAATTGACTGTGTAATTATTGAATAAACAGTGGATGAAAAGATAATGGTAGGTTCTGAAAGCCAGCTTTAATTCACATTTTACTTTATATTCATTTATTTGCTTGTCTACATTCTCCTCTCTGTTGATTATTTTCCAGGCATGCATTTCCCTCAAGCAATGATCAGGCTGAGAAAGTTATTTCATTTACATTGCAAGAGACAGTAACAAACAGAAAACCCAGAGGCAGTGACTTACCTGGAGTGCTGCAGAGTGTGTGTCTTGGCAGTAGAAGCTGTGTGCACCTCCACACCCCAGAACTGTTTTTGAAGCTTTGATGTAGAAACACACAATACCTACAGTGACCCTAAATTTCCGTAAAACAAATATAGCATGTACTGATGCAATTGCCATATATTTATAGAATTCAACAATTGTCTTCCACCAGCTTTATCAAATATCTGCTGCGTGAGGGGTGCTAGGATAGAAACAGAAACAGGTCTGATTTGCCCCTTATGCAGACGAAGCACATGCTTCAAGGACCAGAAAAGCAGAGATAACACGGGACTCCTGCCCTACTGGCCAAATGACACAACAAGAAAATTGAGGAAAGTTCATTTAAATTTCAACATACAGATTTTTTTGTATGTTGAAATACATACAAAACCACGCCTGTAATCACAGCACTTTGGGAGGCCAAGGCGGGTGGATCATGAGGTCAGGAGTTCAAGACCAGCCTGGCCAAGATGGTGAAACCCTGTCTCTACTGAAAATACAAAATTTAGCCAGGTGTGGTGGTGGGCACCTGTATTCCCAGCTACTCGGGAGGCTGAGGCAGGAGAATTGCTCAAACCCAGAACAGGGAGATTGCAGTGAGCTGAGAGCGTGCCATTGCACTCCAGCCTGGGCAACAAGAGCGAAACTCTGTCTCAAAAAAAGAAAACATACCTTTACATGTTAGTTTTAATTTTTATTTGGGTACAGGTCTTGAGATAGTTCGGATTTGTGTTCAGGAATTTTTTACTCCTCCCCACTTTGGAGGAATATCCTTCCTTGACTTAAGGATGTTGGACTTGGTCATGTGACTGTTGGCCAGTAAGATGTTGGCAAGCATGATGCCAGCAAAACCACTGTGGATTTGCATGGTGGGCCTGGCTCTCCTGCACTTCCGACATCGCCTTGAGATGCACATGCCTGTGTCCCAGGAAGATGGAAGCCAACTGGAGCAAACTTGGACACAGCCGGTAACTTGAAGCCCAGCCCAGACCCCCTACTCTAGGTCATCCAAACACCAGCTAACTTGCAAATGTTTATGTGAGAATAAATAATTACCATTTTAAGCCACTGAGTCTTGGAGTGATTTTTTGCATTATTGTGGCATTAATGTAGGCCTCATGATATTTATAGGTTTTACTCTGGCCATGGCATACTAACACTATCCTGGGGGAGGGGGGGAATTTAATTTTTTTAAAAGTTCAAACTCTTGCATTACTGATTCAAGTTTGTTTTGTAAATCAAGGTTAATCATTGTCTTTCATGTGCTAAATGAAATTAGAGGCTCGTAATGTTTCAGTACGGCAGCATATGATTAAAGAGAAGAAAGGTGGGAGATATTTATTTATTCATCTAGATAAAACCTTCATTCCACAAATGCTTCATTCAGAAAAAATGCTGCACTGTTAAGGGATACTCATTCAGCTCTTTTGTACAAGACCTTGAAGATAAAGTTTTGAGTATTAATAACTCTTATCAAGTGCTTATGATGAGCAGGTATTGTTCTTACTGATTTGTCTGCATCAACTCATTTAACCTTCAGAACTTAATGCAGTAGTTAATGATTGCATCCATTTTACAGATGAGAAAACTGAGAAGCCAAGAGGTGAAGTGACTTACCCAAGCTTCCATGACTTATAAGTAACAGAGCCAGGATTCAAATCGAGGCCATCTGACTTCAAAGCCCACATTTTTTACCTATCGTGATAAGACATGCGTAGTTTCTATTGACAGGGAGTTTACAGAGTAAAGAGGACAAGAACTTTAAACAAGAAGACTCAATCATTACAAACCATAGGCAGGACTGTCATGGAAAAGAGCAGGAAACTATCGTGAAGAGTAACAGGGAGGGTCAGGCGCAGTGGCTTATGCCTATAATACCAGCACTTTGGGAGGCCAAGGCTGGTGGATCACTTGAGGTCAGGAGTCCAAGACCAGCCTGGTCAACATGGTAAAACCCCATCACTACCAAAAATACAAAAATTATCCCAGCATGACAATGGGTGCCTGTAATCCCAGCTACTCAGGAGGCTGAGGCAGGAGAATCACTGGAACCTGGGAGGCGGAGGTTGCAGTGAGCCAAGATCACGCCACTGCACTCCAGCCGGGGCAATAGATTCTGTCTCAAAAAATAAATAAATAACAGGGAGGACCTGTTTTAGACCGGTGTTCAGAGAAGTATTTTCCCATTAGGTGACATTGTCTGAAGAATAAACGCGATCACACGGAAAAATGGCTAGGAGAGAGAAGAATGTTCCAGGCAGAATAGCAGGGAGGTGAGTTTTGAGACAGCCTACAGGTTGGTATGTACTCAGGACTGAAAACTGGCCATTGCTTCAGTGAGGCTAAGGAGGTGTGTATGTCTTTGAATTATTGTCATAGGGTAGTTGGTCAGCAAATTTTTTGTAAAGAGCCAAATAGCAAATTCTTTAGGTTTTATAGGCCATGTAGCCTCGGTTGCAATTACTGACCTCTAGCATTGTCACACAAAACCTTCCACACAGAATGAGCATAGCTGTGTTCCAATCAAACTGTATATGCAGACCCTGAAATTCACCTTTCAGTGTTGCAGTTCCACAGACAGCAAGCATGTGTGTGACAACACACAGGATGGCCACGGTTAGTGCATTTCCAACAAATCCGGTGGCCTCTGATGATTTTTTAGTTTTGTTTTGTTTTTTTTTTTGAGATGAAGTCTCACTCTGTCCCCCATGCTGGAGTACAGTGGCATGATCTCAGCTCACTGCAACCTCCTTCTCCAGGGTTTAAGCAACTCTCAGCCTTGGCTTCTCAAATAGCTGAGGTTATAGGTATGTGCCACCACACCCGGCTAATTTTCGTATTTTTAGTAGAGATGGGGTTTCACCATGTTGCCCAGGCTGATCTCCAACTTCTGATCTCAGCTGATCTGTCCGCCTCAGCTTCCCAAAGTGCTGGGACTTACAGGCGTGAGCCACTTGCCCAGCCACCTCTCATGATATTTGAAGCACCTTGACCTTCAACTCTCAGTGAATTCTCTGTTGAAACAGAACATATGTCACACCATTAAGAACAAGATAGAATTTTGAATAAAAGTAATGAATAAACTATTGGGTTTCTAATCATCCTATTATCAAAGAGGAGTAAGTGATAGGCTCACCCAGGAAAATGAAGTAAACCTCTTGTTGACATGATGTATTCGAATTGATAATGATAAAACTCAGGCTCCATCTTTACAAAGAGGACAGAAACAATAGGACTGGGTGAGTAAGTGTCATCCTTCAAAGAGCATTTAAGATTAACTGTTGCTCAAAAAACTTGAATTGCCCTGAAATCTTAGAGTTCATGTAAGAAAGAAAGGTTTTCTCAAATTTAACACAATAATCCTAAAATTTTACAACACGTGACCAGTAATAAGTTGTGAAGCCAAAAGAAACTTTTCAAAACTGACAATAATAATTTAAAAGAAAAAAAATTTTTTTTGATCAATCATGCCAGGCACAGTGGCTCACACCTGCAATTCCGACAGTTTGGGAGGCTGAGGCAGGAGGATCACTTGAGGCCAGGAGTTTAGGACCAGCATGGGAAATACAGCAAGACCTCGTCTCTACAAAAAGAAAAAAAAAAATTAATTGGTCAGGTGTAGTGGCTGATACTGGTGGTCCCAGCTACTCTAGACGCTGGGGCAGGAAGGTCACCTGAGCCCAGGAATTTAACAATGCAGTTAGCACATGATCGCTCCATGGTCTTCCAGCCTGGGCAAAAGAGTGAGACCCTGTCTCTAGAGTTAAATTAAATTATATTAAGTTTAAAATTCTGATTGCTCATGATGGAGGAAAGACTAAATCCTCTTTTTCATAGTCTCTCTCTATAAAATAATAATTCAGTATTGTTAAAAGGCAATTAAAGAATATGTAGCTAAGACATATGGGACAAAAGTATCATAACGAGTGCTGGTAATCCCAGCTACTCAGGAGGCTGAGGCAGGAGAATGGCTTGAACCCAGGAAGCAGAGGTTACAGTCAGCCGAGATTGCACCACTGCACTCCAGCCTGGGTGACAGAGCAGTTAGTTAATTTTTTTTTTTTTGAGACGGAGTTTCACTCTTGTTACCCAGACTGGAGTACAATGGCGCAATCTTGGCTCACTGCAACCTCCACCTCCTGGGTTCAGGCAATTCTCCTGCCTCAGCCTCCCGAGTAGCTAGGATTACAGGTGTGCACCACCATGCCCAGCTAATTTTTTGTATTTTTAGTAGAGACTGGGTTTCACCTTGTTGACCAGGATGGTCTCAATCTCTTGACCTCGTGATCCACCCGCCTCGGCCTCCCAAAGTGCTGGGATTACAGGTGTGAGCCACCGCGCCCAGCCCTAATATTCGTTAATTTTTAAAAGATGCTATTTTGGGGGATTTTATGATATTATGATATTTTTTCAGCTTTAAAATTTTTACAATTTCTTGTACTATCTTCTTTTATTCTAAATAAACATTAATTTTTCCTAAGTAATTTTGTGTTCTTTTTCTTTCAGGAAGCCCCCAGTTGTAGAAGGTTCAAGACCTATAAACAGGAACTACTTCTGTTAAAGCACCTACTATATGAGCCAAGCATATTTAGATGCTAGAAATCATTGCACAAAACAGATGGAGATGGTTTTAAAATATGTCTACAAATTCTCTGGCACTCCCGACTCCAAAAGGCAGAAGTTATTTCCCTTCCCCTGGAGTGTAGGCTTGATCAGGGACTTCTTTCTAAGGAATAGAAGATTGTGTGGGCAGCACTGGATGATTTCCAAGACTAATCATAAAAGGCACTGGAGTTTGTTCCTTGCTGTTCTTCTCAGGAAGCCAGCTGCTGTGTCATGAGAACTCAAGCCACCCTATAGAAAGGTCTGCATGGTGAGGAACCGAGGCCTCCAACCAACAGCCACGTGAGTGAGCCCGCTCAGAAGCATGTTGTCCAACTGCAGGCAAGCCTTTAGGTGCCTCTAGCTTAGACTAACATCTTGACTGCATCTTAACTATTCACGAGAGGCCCTGAGCCAGAACCATCCATCTAAACTGCTGTAGGATTGCTGACCTCAGAAACAGTGAGATAAGAAATGTTCATTATTTTTCTAGCTGGTCCTGGAGACAATCTTTCATTTTAATAAAGAGAAAAAAAGGAGTTTTAAAAAGTTAATATTTTAAGCAGGTAAATTTAGGGATAATTTGTTACATAGCAACAGATAATTAATATACTGACAAAAGTTCCAGCTCTATGACTCTTATATTCTGAAGTTTATTAAATAGACAATCAATTGTTCGCTTTTAAGAATGGCAAACAATAAAATCTTTAAGAAATGCACCAAACTTGATCCAGCAATCCCACTACTGGGTATCTACCCCGAGGAAAACAAGTCATTATACTAAAAAGATACTTGCACACGCGTGTTTATAGCCACACAATTAGCAATTGCAAAAATGTGGAACTAACCCACTCATTAATTAATGAGTGGATAAAGAAACTGTGGTGTGTGTGTGTGTGTGTGTGTGTGTATATACACACACACACATATAGTGGAATACTATTCAGTCGTAAAAGGAAATGAAGTAATGGCATTTGCAGCAACCTGGATGGAATTGGAGACTATTATTCTAAGTGAAGTAACTCAGGAATGAAAAACCAAACATTGTATGTTCTCACTCATAAGTGGGAGCTAAGCTATGAGGATGCAAAGGCATAAGAATGACATAATGGATTTTGGACACTCAAGGGGAAAGGGGTGAGGGTTAAAAGACTACAAATTGGGTTCAGTGTATACTGCTCGGGTGACGAGTGCACCAAATCTCACAAACCACCACTAAAGAACTTACTCATGTAACCAAACACCACCTGTTACCCAAAAAAAACCTATGGAAATAAAAAAAAATTTAATGAAATTATCAAATTTTCATTACGTATGAATTCATTTATCAAATATTTATTGAGCAGCACCTTATGTTTATCTACTTTTAGGCACTAAGCTGGGCTAATCGACAAGAAAGACATAAACCTCCCCTCATGGAGCATCCAGTTTGGCAGAAATTCAGGTTTCTGCCCTGCATCTAACACTCATTCCCTGTAAAACACTGGAATCGGAGCTCAGTTCCCCTGTTCCAGTTCCAACATCCCCTGATTATGAAAATGCCAATCATTGTGAGTATGAATGAAGTGCCTGTTACAGTCCGGCACAGTGCCAAGCCCTTTATATGCGTTATCTCCGTTCATCCTCGCGGCAGTTCCCCATTCCTCAGCCACTTCCACTCTGGAGCCTTTCCCAGGCCCCCTTGCGACTTGGCCTTATGGCACAGTTCAGGCCAGGGAAGCCGGAACAGAAGATTGCTGGAAAGTTTCTGAGCAGGTTTGTTTTCTTGCAAATAATAAGATGTCCATGGTTCCACTCGTTTGTCTTTTCCCTGCCATAAAAGTGAACTGGATTAGGCATCCTGCGACCTTAAGAAAAAGCTCAGGGAACCACAAAGCATGGACAATTCTGGAGCTACTGAAGCACAGTAACTGCTACCTCTGCACCCTTTTAAGTGAGGAAAAATTGTAACCTCTTTGTTTCTGTCTCTGCTGGCTTTTTGCTTTGGTGGTTACTCCTTACAGCTGAAGTATTCCCAACTTATCTAATGAAATTGAGGCCGAGAACTATTAGATAATCAATATCACAAAGTCAGTGAATTGAGTGATCAGAAATTAAAACCTGGTCTTACTGACCGCCAAATCTACACTCTCAGTCATGGTATAATATTGTCATTACGGTTTCCACAAGTAAGCAGAAAACACACACACACACCCCAAAAAAAAACTACAGCAAACATATTTATCTAGTTTCCTTGATATAATCCAAATATAGTAACAAGGCTTTTTGATGTTATCTCAAACTATAGGATATTAAATTTTCATTCCAATTTTAACAAGTACTTAATTGGACAGTTCTGGGAAGTCCTGGGAAGCAAGGAAACCCATCAATATTGATGATGTTTTTGGAAACATGGTGACTATGGCTATGTCTTTTAGAAGAGCTCATTAAATAGACATAAATTCTACTCCTTGAGTGTCCTTCCAACAAAGTATTTATGGGGAATCTACAGTGTTCCTGGTTATTTATTTCTCTCATATTACTTAGTCTCTCTATTAGCCAGCAAATTGAGCCCATGCGCCCCATTTGAGAGATGGGAAAACTGCAGCTCAGAGAGGTTAAGTAGCTTTCCCAGGATGGTCCAGCTTATGGTGGAATCAGAATTGAACTCAGTTCACTGCAGTAGTTCAGAGCCTGGACTACTGCGTGTTATAGGGAGAGAGTTGTAAAATATTCCCATATATGATACAAATATGTGACAGTAGAATAAGTGATATTAGATATGACAACAGCTATGACAGTTTACACATGAGTGAATAAAGTTTGGGTAATGCTCTGGTGACAGTTATTGGAGTAAAACAAATACGAATCAGTTCCTGCTCCAGCACTGCCTAGCTGTGACCTCACTTAGGCAAGTTTCATAATCACCCTGAGCCTCAATTTCTTCTTCTGTAAAATGGGGACAATACTAATATCAATCTCACAGGGTTATTCTGAGCATTCAATGGGACAAGGCTGTCCAACCCTTTGAAAATATTAATGGTTATCCATTTAATATTTTCCCACACTTCAAAACCACCTTTGCAAACTATCTCAGTGAAAGAGATCTGACCTACCTGACTCCATCTTGCTTCTAACCTCCAAGCTGTCCTTGGTGTAGGCCAAACTAACTTTGGGAGGAACTTAGTCAATAGTTTAACTTTGAAAGAAACACTGTAACAGCCCTTTCCTAATACAAACCCTCTTCCTGACTGGGGACTACACAGCCTTTGCAGGGCTAAGAAATTAGCCACAAAATTAGAAATTATGGTTTAGAAGTCATGCAGCTGGAGGGTGCAAGATTCTGAACCTCCCCAGATTGCTCCTAGGGATAACATTGCTATTGTAAAAACCAAAGATCGGTGCTTGAGATATTTTGCAGACCCTGTACTCATTGAATGAGTTAGCACCACCCAGACTGATGAACTGGCTCATCTGGTCTTATGGCTCCTACTCAGAAACTGACTCACCACAGAAGAACCGCTTCGACTCCCTATGATTTCATCTCCAGCCTGACCAATCAGCACTCTTGACTCAGTTACCCGCTACCCACCAAATTATCCTTAAAAAACCCAATCCCAGGCTGTAATCCCAGCACTTTGGGAGGCCGAGGCGGGCAGATCACAAGGCCAAGAGATTGAGACCATCCTGGCCAACATGGTGAAAACCCATCTCTACTAAAAATACAAAAAATTAGTTAGGCATTGAGGCACACACCAGTAGTCCCAGTTACTTGGGAGGCTGAGGCAGGAGAATTGCTTGAACCAGGGAGGCGGAAGTTGCTGTGAGCCAAGATCGCGCCACTGCACTCCAGCCTGGCGACAGAGCTAGACTTCATCTCACACACACACACACAAAATCCCCTATCACTGAGTTTTTGGGGCGACTGATTTGAGTTACAACAAAACTCCAGTCTCCTGTACAGCCAACTCTAAGCAAATTAAACTATTTCTGTATTTCGAG